CATGAAGATGAAAACCAGGTTTCATCTATTTGTTGGTAGTGCAGTTTAGCCGTTTATTCTATAAGTAGAGTTCGTACTAATACATGGCAAATTAAATTTCATTTTTGGAAGAAATTATCAATAATGTAAAAAATAAATTAAACGGTTCGGATCATATTTTTTGATATTTTTATAGATCGAATTATGATCCTCTCTCTCTCTCAATGTATACGACCCGTATTCATCATATATGTAACACTACATTTCATTAGATAACAAACAACTTTACAAGTTAGATAATGAAAAGTTAAATACAAATTCCCTTAGAAGTCCAAAAGTACACTTCATATAGGCACTGATAAGTAGAATACAAATGATATTAATGAAACTAATTTATTCCATAGGCTGTGCTATGCCATGCCCTTGTGAAAACCTAATCCATGAGCTACATAGGAGGCAAAACAACGCCGAACGACTTCCCTTTAGCTTCATTAGCCTATGCACATAAATTTTGTTAAAGGTTCGATAGTTGTCCCAGCATGTGTATTTTTAAAAGTAAAAATTGCACTTGTATTTGAAATTTACTGGTACATACTCATCCCAACTGGGCCCAGTTATTCTCCCGGTACCTTAATCAAACCGGAAACCAGGTTTTTGAAGGAGCTCTTTAATATTCCTATACTTATATACTTCAAACATTTGACTATGTTTTTAAGCATATCTATACGAAATACGGGTTCATATTCCTCACACATGGCGCTGCATATTTCTTTTCAATCCTTCTTTCGCAAGTTTGTAACACCCATTTCTACTATGCCCTTGAACAAAGTTTTGTCATGTTCGGGATTCCATTTGACATAGTTTATATCTTTGTTATTTGGAAGAGTAACACGAACGATGACCATCCTAGTTTTTAAAACAATATACATGAAAATTGCTGAGACTGCGAACATTTATTAGCATTCGGCGTAATGAAAGCATTAATATAGGTAAAATTGACTGAAATAGAAGTTTTCCTAAGAAAAACATTGCAATAGATCAAAATGTATGCACATAGATACGAAAGTTCATGTAACAATGCAATTTACATTATTCCCTCAGGGCCTTAATTAGAAAGAAGAAGATTGTCATAACAAAAAAAATGAACTACACTCCATAAGCATTGCACAAGCATTCTTAATAAAAGAAAAAAAAAACACAGACTACAATCCATAAGCATTCCTCAAAAAAAAAAAAAAAATGGACTACACTCCATAAGCATTCGAAAAACATTCCTCAAGAAAAAATAAACTGCACTCTAATAATAGAAACATGAAGGACACTCCATAAGCATTCCATAAAAAAAAAAAAAAAAAAAAAAGAACTATACTCCAATAGCATTCCTTAAAAAATTAGAAAAGCAAGCATTCCACTATAAGCAATCCACAAACAAATTAGAAAAGTAAGTATTCCACTATAAGCATCCACCAAAATCCTACTAATCATTCAAAAGCTAAACATTGAGTCATTGTCTTTAACAAACAAAGAGGAAATAGTTCACAAAATAGTATGAGCATAGTAAAATTCAACAAAGACAAACAAACCCAACCATAAATGTTTTAGTTTCCCTCATGGAACTATCAATTGAAATTGGTATTGTAATCTGCAAACATCAATTCGACCCGATCTTTCCTCTTCTGGTCATTCATGGCGTAAAAAACTTTACACCTTGTTAGTGTCTATGGATTCCATCTTCATGACAGCCTCGAAAATATCTCTCAACACATCTTCATCCTTAGTTGTCGTCATGCCCTTATAGCTTCGGCAATCTCGTCAAGCTTCTCTGTATAAATGTCATCTTTGGCTACTTTCTCTTTTTATTGGTTGTTGATCTACTCACAGCCCTTGACCTCCTGCATTTGATCAACTTTCATTGGCATCCTCGGTGGTCTCCTCTTCATCTCATCCTGTGCCAACAACTCCAATCATCTCCTCCCACATCCATGTCTCTTGAACTTCTACATCCCTATCACAATGGTTGTTTTCTACATCGGCATGGCTTTGTGCACCTCCACCATCAACCACATTATCAACAATAATGATACATAAATCTTCCAAGTAGGGTATGACCTTATCCTGGTACTGCCTTGTAACCTTATGTCCCTACGATACAAAATACCAAAACGTTCAAACCCAAACAAAATAGCCTTCGTAAAAGAATATTTAATATTTAATAATTAATACTTGTAAGTACGTATCCCACACAATGGGATTTGCTGTGACCATGCATCGTGTTGAACCCATCCAAACCCACTTTCATTGGATTGGTTCTTTACGAACTTCCATTGTGTCTTCCAATGCTTGTATCTATTTTTAAGCTAGTCCTTGGTGATGTTCATTGAAGGTTCATAATTGAACTTCCTTCGCATAACAAACCATGCCTCTCTTTGGAAATCCTCCTCTAATTTCTTCCCTAGACTAATTTGTTCTCTTAGTAAGCCAAGGAGCATGAGATCCATCTGTTGGCTCCAAGTAAATTTTTTATTTGATGTCTATTGGCTACTAGTCACATCCATACTTGATTAAGAATTATAAACCACATTTCTATAAATTTCTGTTACACTACTAATCAATATAAATATCATAAATTAGTTGACAACATGCATTGTCTTGTAAACATGCATTGTCTTGTAGAAAATCGGCGCATAATCAATATCCACACCATAAATTACTTGACATTATGAACACTTCTCTGTTATCGAAAGGTATAATTCAATTATTGAACGGTAAGTATACAATATGAAAGCATGTCTATTGTTATAGTTTTAACGATACTAAATGACCTAACTCAAGGATGCACTATAATTTTCCTACATTTTTTGCCTAATATCATATAAAAAATTATCCCAATCATCCCTTTCCCTCTGACCCCTTCCATAAGTAGGATGTCATGGTACACACAGGATTTCCTCATTGCTTGAACTAC